AAGTCGAATCGGGAACGAATCGGTATCGAACCAGTTGTCAAATCGAATAAATAACTATACACATAAATGTAAAATATTATAAAAATAACAGATTTTCTTTAATTTTAGTTTACTAATTTAAAGTAAATAAATATCTATATTTTTCTTAATTAAATTTATTATTTTAATTTATTTTATAACTTCAAAAACTAATAATTAATATGTAACAAATAATTTGATTTGTTAATGGAAATAATGAAATAAAATATTTATATTTAGAATTGAAATTCAATTTTATCTTATCCCATATCGAATGTCAATAGAAAACTAGAAAATGATCTCTCATTTAAAAAGGAATATCATGATGGTAGAATTCACTATTGGGCTTGTTAGTAAAAACAAGTGAGCCTCAAGTTAGTTCAAAATTTTTTAAAGAACGTTGATTTTTCTTTTCCTAATTTTTATTAATTTTTGATCGGATTATCGAATCGGATATTCAATAACATAGCAAATCGGATATGGATTTAACAATCAAATATTCGTTGGATTATCGGATCGAATCAGATATTTTTCTTATTGGATCGGATCGGATATAAGCAGATCCGATCCATTTACAACCCTAGGTAGCAGCCTAGTCTGGTTCCATAACATCTACGCGTGGCCTTGATCTCATATTACCCACTAGCAAGCTTAAAGTGCTCGACCCAAACCCCCGCCTCAAGCTCGGCCTCTGAGTCTTCATCTTTCTTGGTGAAAGCAACTTCTTCACGTGGTGGGTGAGGTTTTTTCCTTGCAAGAACATTGGAGTCGAATTCGAAATTAGGAACGAAGGTGTTTCGAAGTTTTCTAATTTACGGGCTTCCTCCTTCTGATTTAGGCTTTCTGTATTTTGAGGTTTGGAAGTAATTAATATGGTAATTATAATTTTACTTAGTTTGAAGGGTATTAATCAAAAATGTATTTTTTTAGGGCAGAGGGCCAAATTTTCCCATAATTAAATAAAAGATAATTAGGCTCAACACCCTCCAAAATTAATCAATTAGAATAATACCCTGAAATTAATTAAAACTTTTACTCCCGTAATTAATACTCTCAAATCCTCTCCACTTAATCGCCTGCACATCCTAAATCATCTTCCCTAAAAATCGATGATAGAGAAATTCAGAACTCATTCATTTCTCTCAAATTGAAAACCCTTCAAACCTCTCCATTACCATCTCCAATTTCCTCCCTTCACAACAACGAGACAGCATCGCCGGACTCATCTCTGCCTCCGATCAGCGCTAAAATCGATGAAGAACAAAATTCGTCACTGTATCCAAATGTTTTCGTCAACATCAAAAACTGTCGAATCCTGCTTTGAACTTCCACCGTCACAAAACCACCACCACAATCATGTCCTTCTCCGTATAGGTACTGAGGAATATTCATTTTGGCAAGAAGTCGTGTATGAAAATATCTCGACCTATTGCAGTCTCTGTTTGTACCAGGGGTATACTGTGCACGAATGTTACTTGTTTGATAAAATGATTAAAAGAATAATATTTGCCACTGTCGTTAGCGATAAGAAGTTCAATAAAAATGAAAATGCCAGCAGAGAAAAGGAGATTCCCCTTAGGAGAATATCGAAACACGAGGAGAAAGATGACATCTCACAAGCTTATTCATTCAGTAATGATGATCAGTCGAGGGATTTGGAAATGGACAGTCCACGTAGCTTCTCTTCTGCCAGTGCACGAACCAATAGAACAAAGAGAAGGTGAGAAAGAAAGCGAATGAGAGAGGGAAAGAGAAAGAGAAAGGGGAAGAAGGAGACTACCTTAGTTCTATGGGAAAAATCTCGTGATGGGTTTGTCAAATTGAATACCGATGGGTGTTTAAAGCGGTTGGAGATTCCTAGCGGTGATTCTGCTGGTGGGGGAATCCTGAGGGATCATGAAGGGGAGGTGCTATTTGCATTTCAAGAATACTATGGTACTTCTTGTTGTTCTGCATAAGCAGCTGAATTAAAGGCATTATTGGCAGGATTAAAAATTTATGTATAAAAGAGGCTGAATTTTGGACATCTCTTATTCAATTTTGGCTGAATTAATTCCAAATTTTCGAAATGTGTTTTGTCACTTTTATGAGTTTTGTCACTTTATTGAACTAATTCTAAAGTTTTGATTATTGTTTTGCCACATTTTTTAATGTTTGTCACTTTTTTTAAAATTTCTATCACTTTTTTGAATATTTGTCATTTTTTTTATTCTATCACTTTTTAAAGTGTTTCACTTTTTCTATCACTTTTTAAATATTTTTTGTCAATTTTTGAGTGACAAACATCATTTTTTTAAAAATAAAAGTAACACTGTATCACNAAAAAAAAAAAGTAAAAAAGTGACAATTTTTATTAAAAAAGTGACATTGTGTCACTTTTTCATTTTACGCAGTATTTTTTATTTCTTAAAAAAATTTCACATGATTTTTCTAAATATTTCTAATTTTAAGGGTATTTTTGTAAGTACTTCAATAAATAACTTATGTCTAGCCCAGGCCCAACTCAATACCCAGCCAAAGCAATTAGGCACAGCCCAAATGCCCAATCCATTTCATTCCAAATGGGGCGGCCAGAAATTCCCATTTCAATTCATCGCCTCCGCCTCCCAGTCCCAGATCCGATGCTCCTCTCTTTCTCACATTTGAAATACTCATTACCCACTCCTTCAAGAAGAATGGCTGAACCAGTTGCTGCTCCTGCTCGCTTGAGCCTCCGTCCCTATTCGACAGTTCGAGCCCTAGACGGCGAGTCCGCGACCGCTGGGAACCGACGATTCTTCGACAATCGGCACTATAGGTGAAGCCCTTAACAGTTAACCCCAAATCTGAAATTCTGAAATTCATTGATGATTCTAACTGATGGCTTCGTTTTAGATTCTTGAAGAGCTTCAGCTAGGCAGGCAACAGCTCTTGACTTCCCACTACAAGGTTGATCACAATTCTTTTATTGTCAGTGCAAATTTTGTGTGAAAATTCAAGTTTCTGGAGTGTGCCAAAATGTGAAAATTTTCAACCAAGAAAAATCCAAATTGAAAACTTTGAGTTATGGGTGTTAATATGAACCAAGGTAGTTAAAGATTTTGCTTAGATTCAACTTGATAAAAAATAGTTTGTAGAGAAAATCTTTCGTTTTCAAACTTATCAAATCCTTTAATATTGTTATTGTTATTGTTATTGTTTCGCGCGGGTAGTCGCTAACAATTAAAAAGGAATTCAGACGATTGTGTAAGGGGCAAACCTTTTGAGATAAAGTCCCAAAAAGAAGTGCTTTATTGATGGGAGTTACAATTGGAAATAAACAGAATGCCTCCAAGGGGCGCAAGCACACGAGTATTGCAAAGTGATAATTAAAGTTAATCTAAAAAATTGAAATTATATATTCTCTGTTTGAGAGTGTTCGATTCGAGGGTTTTTTCTCTATGTCTTCTCTTCCTTTTTATATTCCCATGATGATTTCTTCGTGACAACCACTTGGAAACTGTTTGATTGCTTTATAACTACTAACTTTCTTCATGGTGGCTAAATTGTCGTGGAACGTCACCTCTAACTGCTGTCATTACTCTTTGTCGTTCAACCGCCTTCGAATGGGCTCTTTGAATCATGAAATATGATAAGTATGCTCGATAACTGTTTCAATAACTGCTATTCTGGATAACCCTAATATCTCATGTGTTAAAATTCTGGACGACTCGAAGGCTTGGGCGAGAACGAGGTCATCCCTATGGGCGACCGTAAGGCACTCAATTCGCTCAGATTCTGAACGTCTTGCAAACTTGGACGATGATATTATTGTGTTCATGGGTTTCCTCCGCATTCATCAATAATCTTATTTGGGCATTTATCTTGGACTCCCCAATTGGGTCTCACTCTTTGGGCTAGTTAACTTGGACTGCATTTTTAGTGTGTCAACATTTATAGTATTCATATATTCTTTTGTCAGCCGTTCTGCATAATTATAATACAGTGATCGGACAGGTCTACAATGAAATCTATTAACTAGTTCCTATTTAAATATTAATTTCTTCCTATTTATGAATCTATTATCATCTTCATATCTCTAAATTATCTATTGGAGCTTGCCATCATTTGATGGTGGATTGCGTTGCAACCTAGTTTGACTTGAACGCTGGTGGCTTCCCCATTTTGGCTTGACAAACTCTTACCATTTTTGTACAAGAAATTACTTTTAAATTTTTTTTCCTGAATATTCATATCTTGATAGAGACTTTATGGAAAAACTGATTTACTTGGAAAAATGTTGAGAAAATTGACTCATTGGTTTTTCAACATTTGGTTGGGCTAAATGGTTTTTGTTATGTAAAGTAGGACTTTAAGCTATCTTTCAAAAACTATAACTTACCTAATTGGAACTTCAGCTGTATGCTGTTGTATCATATTTAGTGTGTCGACTTTAAATTTTGAAGTTCACATTTCCACTTTGCTATATTGAAATTACAAGTGCTGAATTTTTCATTGCAGCGAATGCATTTTGATTGAATAAGAATTAATTTTACTTTTAACTAATTCTTATTTGGCGTTTGGTGCAATTAGTACATGGACAAAAAAAACACTGGAAGGATGAAAATCGTACATGGTGTTGACGGAATCCATGTGGGTAGATGGAATTGGTGTGATTGATGGGTAACTTTTTAAAAATATAAGTGAGCAGTGAGTAATTTTTAAAAAATAAAATAAAATTGAGTGAACAAGTAGGAAGCTAAAATAAAATTCAATTAATTTAATTAACTTGTTTTTAAATGTTATCATTTTTAATTTTTTTAAATTTATTTGATTTAATTTCACATA